TTAGATTCAGCAACAGCGATACTAGCTGTCCCTATTTTAAGTACACATCTTAGCTGCCATAGCTATATTTTAGCTTCATTGGCTAATCTTTTTTTTTGCGTGTGGGCGTATCTAAAAGTTTTTTTTTCGGGAGGGGAAATTTGTCAATCCTGTTAACTTAATGCAAAAACAGTAATTTTTTGCAATAATGAATTGCTTTATTCGATATTTTGGGGGAAGGGGTTACCGCCTTCCTTTTTGGATATACGCTCATGATTTAATTAATTGATGCTAAGCAAATTCAGAATTTGTCGGTTTCGACAACGTTTGCTGGGAATTATGTGGCTAGTATATATTTATGTACGGTTGAAGAGGCTCCACGTATTCTCTGAATTTTACCTTGAAGATTGTTTCGCAAATAAACCGAGCATGGCCTGTGAAATCCGTACACTCGTACTTGATCTGGAGTGACGGGCGAGATCGTATCGGGCCGCGTGGATTTCGCTATCGTTGATATGTCGATGACGAGCTTGCGAATGCGCCACGATTTTATGTCGTCCTTGATCACATATCAACAGTCTGTATATCAAGGAGCGGGGAACATGTGAGCGGGGAACATCAAATGGATCGAATATTTTCAGGTAATGTGATTGATTAATGTTAAAATTATCGGTTTAGCTATAGCTTTATCACGTTATTGCCGCCACGAAAATAATGGGCGAGAGTTGCCTAATGCGTACCGGTCACCTAAATCATACCTCCACCAATTCTTTTTTCTTATTATCTGTGTATAAACAACATTTAATGTCAAGAACATGAGATAAATGAGGGATAAAAGAAAGCAGGCAAAAAATTCTCGTCTAGGTATCGAGGTACTTTTGGTTTTATCGCATTTATAAGATATATAGTTGTCTAAGATTAAAAAAGTGGTTTTTTTCCACATAAGATACAAAAGTGTCTTTTGATTTTTACCATCTTAACACCACAATTGATTCCAGACTTTTCCAAGACATTCAATTTTACTTATCGATATGTAGGGGGAGGGTAATATAATAAATTACTAATATTTCTAACAATAAACTATTAACAATTGACAAGTCGACAACTCATTAAAGTCTTTGAATAATTTCTAGTAATTATATTTGAATTTATCTGCAAAAGTACATAATAGTATAATGAAAAATATGTTTTAGATAAACTCATATGTATTTTTTTTGTGTTTGTTTATAAGGAATAATATAATCCCTCGTAAAAAAGAACTACTAGTGCAGTAATAACACTACTGAAATGATAGTAGTGGCACTGTTGGTATAGCAGTGACACTACTACATACTCATTTCAGTAGTGTTTTTACTGCACAAGTAGTTCTTTTTTACTAGGGATTATATTAAATAATTTCATTTTCTTTATAACATTATTATAATATAGTTAAAAACATATAGAATATATTAATATTTTTCATTTTTTGTATTGTAAATATTCCGCACACACGCAAAAAAAAGATTAGCCAATAAAGCTAAAATATAGCTATGACAGCTAAGATGTGTACTTAAAATAGGGACAGCTATAGTATCGTTGTTGCTGAATCTAAATTTATTAGTTATTAAAATGTAGGTGCTGCAGCAAAAAAAATTTGCTGCTAGAATCAAATGACGTTTAGCTAATCCTATTGAGGAATATTTAGCAAAACTTTTAAAGTTTTCAGCAAAGTTATTCAATCCGTGTGCCACTTTCTTAGCTACTCCTGTTAAAGTACGCTTTTATTTTAGCTAATAAAATTGTATCTCACAACAAATATATTTTATCTTTAATAGCTAACTTTTAGCAATAACAGCAATGTTTAAACTAGCTACTGATGTTTAGCTGATAATGCTAAGTCATTTTTTTGCGTGCAGATTGAAATAAAGAAAACAACTAGACTTCCGGACTTTGGTCATTATGTCGGTATTGTGGATCCGAGATAAAATCATTATTTCTTTTCGTGATACGCGCGCGCTACATAGTTTTAGTATACAGGATCCGTAAAGTCAGTTATCACCCTTTTTATTTGGAATCGGCTTTTAGATACAAAGGAATGTTTTAAACAAAAATTGTTTGATTTCAAGGGAGATATAAAATGATATCATTGGTTTTACCAAAAGTAGCGCTGTCAAGGTCAGAAAAAAGTCAATTCAAAATTTTTAACTTAAACCCTTCATTTTTTATTACATATTCTTGTAGCTTAACTCGACAACTTTCCAAAATACATAGATAAAATATTTTTTAATTAAGTATATCTTGAATTATAAAAGCTTGAATTATAAAGCTTGAATGTCGCAGTATTATCCAAGGTGTCCCAACACTGGCTAAAATCTTTTTTTGGATGTATTGTTCAGGATCGTGTTCTTGATAAAACATGTGAAGGTCATGACCATTGAGAATTACTTTCCTTTTTTTTTTGAAAAATAATAATTTTCAAAAATGAAAACAGTATCAACAATCTTTAATGGTTTTGCTCTTAACATGTTTTGTCAAGGTCATGATCTTGAACAACATTCAAAAAGTTTTAGCTTTTGTTCGGGCACCTTGGATAATGCTAATGCCAGCGGTACTGTAAATTTTATGCCTTATAACTCAAAAAATGCTTAATGGAAAAATATTTTGTACAAACATAGTGGTTTGAAATTATAATGGTTTTTCGAGATAAGCTACAAGAATATGCAATAAAAAATGATTTGTCCCATTTAAAAAATTTCAAGTGATCTTTCTCTGAATTTGACAATGCTACACAAAGTCAAATCAATGGTACCATTTTAAGGTGGTTTTATCGGGCAAGTTCCAGTCAAAAGTTAATCCCTCCATATGACTAATAATTCAATAATTCAATTAAAACATTTCGCATAGACTGTACATATACGATTGTGTAACGTTTATGTGACAACGTCACACTATCGAGTTGGTGTTGAGCGATAAAACCACCTTAATTAAGTTCCCCTTGAAGTTGTACAACTTTTGTCTGAAGTATTTTTCAATTCCATGTCATCTTCGAGTTATTCGCCTGGGGTGATTAAAATGAAACACCTTGTACATAACATCTGTTTTGCAAATTTTTAATTTTATTCATCAAAATCCACCATTTTCTGCAAATTGTTTTCAATATTTCTTTTAGAATTTATGACGTTCTTTGCGATGAATCTCTGTTGCAAAATATCAATACACATAATATATGTATAAATGTAAGAACATATGATATTAATATTAATCAGATAATGAGCAAACATCCAAGAAAATAGCAATGCATTGCACGTAGTTTCCGTGTTACACAACACGTAATTTGACACATACAAAGATATATGCGAATGAAAACGTTCAGGGTGTTGCACACCCAGTGCTCCAGAATCGGAAAATACAAATACTGCTCCAGCTGAGGGTTAAAAGAGATAAAATATTTCAGTCACTTATATTTCCTTCTTTTGAAACACGCCGATATCTGAAAATACACAAAGATATCTTTTGTGAATACAAATTTACTGAATATTTTATTACGACGTGCGTATAAACAAAATATAGGAATTAAATTCAAGTAGGAATAATTAAAACTTTAATTTACGTTACTTTTCTCCGCTGTTGTTTCTATCGGAAAATCTGATGGCTTCAATAGGCGCATCATTACTACATGATTATAAGCAGTCTCTATTTCATATACAATATTTTCTAATAACTCCGTAAAAAGTGTTTCATCCTTTACGATTGACTTATCAGCTATTAAAGACAGTTGTAAATTGCCTCCGTAGCTTAACAGAGATAGGCCGAGAGCAGTAGTGTTTCTGGAAACGAATTGTGATGCATCTATATATATTGCTATAATGCACAATAATTTTATTTGTTGTAAAAAAACAAAGATACGATACTTGATTGGTATCCAGAACACACAGTTGCTCACAGAATTATTCAGAATACAAACTTTTTCCGGTCCACGCATATTGCTAAACACAACCGTGCAGTCATTTATTGAAAAAAAAGCCTTCAATATTTTCACCGGAAATAGTGCGGACAGATACTTCATAATCCAATAATTAAACAAGATGTCATAACGCTTTCTAAGCTCGTTATTTGCTCTTGTAATATCTTGAAGGCGCTTAAAAAACTGAGAATCTCGATTTGGATCGACGATTGTTTGTCCATTTGCATTGGAGACACAAATTTGCAAACCAGCAAGCGAAAAGTCGTTATTTAACGTTGAATTTGTGCCAGGCACTGCCATTCTTACTGGGAAAATAGTTGTTAACGCATCGGGAGCTGTTTTCTTAATCTACGAAAATATAATACGATAAGAAAAATTATATTAGCAAAACAAGTTTGAACGCGAATTGCCGAAATATAAATTTGTAAAAAAATCTTTTTATTTTCTAGATATTATTCAAACATATTTCTAAATGAAGTTCTTTAGAGTTATTTGTTGGTTGAAAGCTTTATACATACTTACGCGTAAATGATATTTGTGTACACTAGCGGATAAAGCTGCCAATACTATATCATTAAATTTAACACCTGTATGTTTTCTTATCTTGCGAATTTTCTTTAAAAGATTCAACGATTTATTATTTGTCACGTTATCTAGCCAGTAAAACATTAGTTTTTCACCCGTTTGAGGTGGACCATGCAGAGCACTGTAAAAACTTTTATTATTTACAACGATACTTTGCATATACTACTAGCAAAAATTAAAACATCACGCCTTATACACTTTCGAAAAATAAATAAATTCTAAAATTTAAGAAACATTTTTATCAAAGTTACACTCACGAAAGTGAGTGAACAAGTTTAATATATTTTTCTTCCAATTCTAACTTC